TTAGGAAGTAGTCAAATCTACCTAAAGGCCACTCCATAGAAATGCAAATTTTTCTCTACTCTCCAACTTGTCATCTTTTATGAAATACTTTCCAAGCAAATAAGAAGAATCAAACTGCTTATAAACTAACGTTTAAATTTTATCACTTAATCAAGCTTAATCACTCACCAATATAGCTCATTTCTCTAACATTTTTTGGCACCTAGTGTTTAAGAGCACAGGATGCTCTTGCAGAGGACCCTGGTTTGGTTTCCAGTACCCTCATGGCAGCTAACAACCATCTGTAACTCCAGTTCCAGGGATATGGAGCCCTCTTCAGGCCTCTGTAGGCATTGCACACATGGGTACACTTACATGTAAAATACTCATATACATAAAATAAATAAATTTTAAAATTTTAAAAAGAAAAAAGCTTAATTAGACATTGCAATATAACTACATCCTATATAGACACAAATATTTTGTCCAGATCCAGGTGCTAACGACGCTGAAGTCCTATGATAAACAAGTAACCCAAAACACAGAGTAGTTTATAGGAAAACAGCCCAATTTTGGTGTTTAGTTGCCCAAACCATAGTTGCCTTCAGAGAATCCCAGAAACTGGTAGAAAATACAAGCGGAGACTGTTTGCTACCCACACTTGCTCTTACAGTTGAAGTTCAAGTTCACAGGAGAAGATCCAGGGGAAGCAGCCAAATTCCAAGTGATTTGACCTGGCAAAATCCTGAATAGAATTTAATCTGAGTTCTCAAGTTTTCAAACAATCTTGTTAAGTTTTTGTAGGCAATTTATGTAATTATGTGGGCCCACACATTTTTCCATTTTGAAAAGAACAAAGCCACAAAAATCTTTATGTTCACAGACAAATGTTCAATATTGTAAAAGAAAATTAGTGTGCCAACAGAAACTCTAAAATTCCAAACAGGGGCATGCATCCCTCGTTTGTCTCTTGCGAATTCAGCCTGTATGCACTACAGACACAGAGCCCTCTCCACTGCCAGCTCCTCCCCTCCTCCTCTGAAGCCAACACTTCATTTAGACACAAGATACTTTATTAGCCACAAACCCTCTGCTTTGCTTTGATATGTTGAACCCAATTGAATTTGACTGATCACAGTTCTCTGCACACATTGGCGGGCAGATTTTTGGGTCATACTCAGGACATACATCTTTGATCAAAAGCAAATGGGAACACTGGCGTGAGTAGGTGGATTGTATGGAATTCCAAACCTGGCCAATCTGTCAAAGCTAAGAAATCCATCACTTTCTAGGAGGTTTTTGCTCACGGAACTAACTCAATATAAGTTTGCATAAGGAAAATGGAATTAAAGCAGCTAAAATAATTTCTGTTCCATTTTTATTTCAGGAAAATAAACTGAAAACAAAATATGTGGTTTATAAATTCTAAACTTACAATCACAGGCAGGAACCCCAAGCCATGAATGCCAAACAAATATAGGTTAAGTTAAATGTCACAGTCAAATACACATCAAATTTAATGACACATATTTAATGATATCCATAAACACAGTGATCACTCAACTAGCTAGGAGGAAATTTCACCAACTGTCCAAGTCAGCCAGCTCTGACAGCCGCCTCTCTTTAATCTCACTCAACTTCCAAAGGACAATGTCTGGCCTAGCTGGAAATGCACAGTTACTAGCTCTGTTCCTTCTACCGGCCAGAAGCAAAGGCTGGGAATGTGAAATAAAGGTCTCCTGGGAGAATGCTTGCTCAGAGGCTCAAATGGGTGACCCAGAGCCACCAGAAGTAGGGCTTTTTATGGTAAAAACCCAGCACCTGGAACAGAGACAGGGCCACTGGGTTAAAATGATGATCCACACACCCGTCCCCCCTCCGCCGTGCCCTGGGACGATGGAGTGCTTGTGTTATGTGAGATGAGGGAGATGTAGCATGACAGTGTGCACCACAGAAACCCACCCCTCACTTGTAACAGTTCATGGGTTTGTTTTCCTAACCTGATGCCCAAGGAAATGGGAATTTCAAGAAACTAAGATGACACTGAGTTCCCAAGGGAAAGGGAATATGAATTAGAAATGCTCTTCCATGAAAACAAAAATCTTATTTTTTTATTTAATTCTTGTCTTAGAGACAGGCCCTATACTGTGTTCTCTCCTTCTAGAACTTTCATCCTGCCACATCTCCTCCCCAGGCTGGTTCAGAGTTGGATGAGCCAGCAGGGGGATAAGATACCAACATATGGCTTTGTGGTTTGCATGGCGGGGGGAGGACTGTTCTCTGGGTTGGGTTTTGTGTTTCTCTGTGGTATTGCGTGGGGACGCGGAGGGGGGACAGGGGGATGGGACATGACACACAACAGACACACACGTTGTTGTTGTTTTTAGGGGCAGAGTGTGAGAATATTTACAGTCTGTTTAGGAACTCTGCTTAGTACAAACTGTACCCAAGAGAAATTTTAGGATGCATTCTAAAATGGGAATACACAAAACCTTCCATCCAGTGATAACCATTCAGGAAAATCCTATCTGTGTGATAAATGACTCATGGAGGATCTTTTGTAAAAAGCAAACAAGGATGACACTTCTACAAATTTATATTGATAATATAAGATCTGGTCCTATTCGACTGACAATGCAAATGAAGATCGACTAATATTTCCCCTACCTACTATAGAAAATTTCAAATTTCCATGAATAATTATCTCTGTAAATCACACAAAGCAAGAGTTGATCTAATCGAAGGGCTAAGTCTCTTCCATCTTGTGGACAGAAAACCTTCTTGTCAGATAAAAGAAATAATAGTCTTAAAATGACTATCTTGAAAAAGGAAAATGTACCTTTACAATATACATGCAATATACCATTTACACAGAAAGTAGGTGCCACCAAATAATGATTCTCAGTGTGCTACCAGATTATAGATAACCCAATATTGTCCCATAGAATAGCACACATTATTAAGAGCATAACAGCAAACTTTGTAATAAAAGTTCATATACCCAATTACGGCATATGGTTTTCATAGAGAAAGTCAATTAAAGACAGCTGTGCCTTAAGTAGATTTTGGAAGACAGGCTCATAATGGGTAATTATAACAGTAAGCTTTCACTCTCCCAGTGATTATTATACATATGCACACATGTGCACATACTTTGTGAGGAGCCTTTCATATATGAAGGCTAAACACAAAGTCATATTTGCTAATAAATCTCTATCAAGTTCTACTGCAGAGCTGGTGTTAGGAGGCAGAAATGATACTGCTTTGTATCTTAATTCCTACTAAGCATTTATCCTGTATTTGAAAGGCTTGTGTACAACTGGGACTTTAATCTGTAAAGGAAGGAATTGTGGCTTGGATAAATAAGCACTTCTTTTAAATCAGGATTCAGGGGCTGGAGAGATGACTCCACAGTTAAGAACACTTACTGTTCTTCCAGAGGACCCAAGTTTGATTTCCAGTACCCACATGGCAGCTAACTCCAGTTCCAGGGAATCTAAACATCCTCTTCTGGCCTCTTCTGGCATTGTATGCACACAATGCACTTACATACATACATGCAGGCAAAACACTCATACACATAAGATAAAAATAACAAATAAGGGGCTAGAGAGATGGCTCAGCAGTTAAGAACACTGGCTATTCTTGCAGAAAACCCGGGTTTGAATCCCAGCACCCACATGGCAGCTAACAACTGTCCTAACTCCAATTCCAGGGGATCTGACAGCCTCTTCTGTCCTCCACGGGCATTGCACAACATGGGTGTACTTACCTACATGCAGGCAATACACACACACACACATATAAAATAAAAATAATAAATAAAATATTAAAAAATAATAATAAATAAAATATTTTAGGGTATAATATGAATAAAATATCCAGGGTCACATTATGAACTCAGGCTGGCCTCCAACTTGAGATCCCACGGCCTCAGTCTCCCAAATGCCGGGTTTACAGGCATATACTAAAAGAGAATATATTCATGGACAGTATAGAAAAATAGCACCTGTCACTGGACCACGGGGAATGAGCTGGGACACTCCTGCATCCTCGTGAAGCTGTACCAAGATTGGTGTTAAGAAGGGAGCAAAGTGTGTGGTCTGCAGGTAGGATGTGGCCATAAGAAGACTTTCCCATTAGCCTGCCTAGGGATTTTGTTTTGTTTTGTTTTATGTGTATGAGTGTTTTGCCTTCATGCATGTGCACCATAAACACACTTGGTGCCTGCAGAGGTCAGAAGAGGGTGTCGAATCCCCCTGAAACTGGAGTTACAGGTGGTTATGAGTTGCCATGTGAGTAGTTGGAACTGTACCTGGATCTCTGCAAGAGTAGCAAGTACTCTACCACAGATCCATCTCTCCAGTCCCCCACCTAGTGTTTTCAAGGAGGGAATCTTAAAATGTCAGATTTTGGGTTTGGTTAAATGGTTCAGTGGGTAAAGGCACTTGCAGATCAAGCCTGGTGATCTGAGTTCAATCTCTAGAACCAACATAAAGGAGCTTCTCAAACTCCCAGGTGTCTCTTGATCACTGTATTAAATGTATTTGGTGGTTTGGAAATTCAAGAAAATTCCACTCTTGTGTTCTTTCCAGTTCTTTTTCTGGATGACAGGTATGGGAATGACCATAACAAACTATGTGCCTAACGACTCAATAAATTGAACACTAAGTTCCCACACTACTATTGCACACTGCAGTAACTAAAGTTTCCTCTGGAAAGATCTACTGAACTTACCTGCTCTCTCCTAATTGTCCTTAAATGTAAGCTGTGTCTACACAGAGATCTGACAGTCCTACCTGAAATTATGTGGAGGAATTCATTGTCAGTCAACTCTCAGATAAGGAAGGACAGTAAGGGAACAAAGGAATCTATATATTACAAAGTCTAACACTTTTTTTCACTTTCCAGAAAATATCCTCCCAGTAATTTCTGTGGTGACTACACTAGACAGTCAGGATGGCTGTTCAGAGTTTAGGGCCAGTACCGTGTTAGGAAAAAAACAAAAGAAGACAACTCACTAGTTCCAGACACTGTCTGTGGCCATAGGCAGCAGCGTAGTGGATGCTATTGTAGCCTTCCTTGTCCCGGATGGACGGATTTGCATCATTTTGAAGCAGAAACTCTAGACATCTGCAAGTGTAAAGATGTGGTTTTAGGAAACATCTCTGGACCAAAAAGGATAATTAGTATAAACTCCCCAATTACAAACGCTCCACAAAGTTTTTAAGAATTTAAATGTTTCTTTATGGATCTTGTTTCACACACTGGAAGGTGTGTGTGCACACATGCACACACGAGCATGTATGTGAATGCATGCTTTCTCTGTCTTTATTTCATCTTAAAATAGCCATTCTAGCCGGGTGCGGTGGCACACGCCTTTAATCCCAGCACTTGGGAGGCAGAGGCAGGCGGATCTCTGTGAGTTCAAGGCCAGCCTGGTCTACATAGTGAGTTCCAGGACAGCTGGGGCTACAGGGAGACCTTGTATCAAAAAGACAAAAAATAGCCATTCTAAAAGTCAGGAAAAGCTTTAGGAACACATGAGTAATTGTCTTGTTTTCCTTCTCATCTTAAGGTACAGAACACGTATGTCATCAATATTACTGAATAACAAGATTTAAATCTCCATGTTCAAAAGTCTCAAATGTAATAAAGTGGTTAGGCTACTGTAACTGTACTAAAACTCAATAGAGAAGGGACTATTTCTGACCTTGCTATTGGAGATGAAGATTCAAAAGTTTAAAAAATGAAAGTTTAAAATAGATTAAGAAGAGAAAAACCTTGGGGTAGACTGAATAATGAAAGACTGGGTGTATAAACATTTAAAAAGTAAAAAGAACTCATTTAGCAACTATACTTGAAGTTTAAGTTGCACAATTACAAATACAGACCAGAACAAAATAAAGATTTTAAAAGCCTTTTCTGACATAATTATAATTTTTCTGAAAAGCTATGGTATTTGAAATAGGCTGCAAGTGTGTCCAACCTGTGGCCCACAGGCCACATGCAGGAAGAGATAGCTAGGAAAGTGGCCCAGTGTATAAAGTTACTTAAAATATTTAAGATTTTTTTGGCAAATTTTTTGGAAATAAATTTCATAGTGCTCAAACACAAACTTTGTAGATAATAGTGTTGTGCTTGCAATGTCTAAAGGCTGAACACGCCAGGCAGAGGAAGGATCTTGGCTCTTCCTTTGCTGAAGGGATCCAAACCCTAGCACTCAGGGACATACACAGTTCTGTTCATGTCCTATTGCAAATAGTCAAGATCCTTCCATCACAAGAGGCAGAAACTAGCCTATCTCCATGGCTCATTCCAAGATTGCAGTATTATTTTTGTCATAGTGAGACAAGGACATGCTGATTCAGTTTCAAACTCGAATCAATTTTTTATTTTTATTTTAGGTTTTTTGAGACAGGGTCTCATGTAGCCCACATTGGCCTCAAACTCATTATGTAGCTGAGGATGACCTTGAACTCCTAATACTCCTGGCTCTAACTCCCAAGAGGTGGATTACAAGAATGAGCCACCAAGCCTATCTCTCAAGATTTTAAGATTCTAAATACCAGCATCTATATTAAATAGAATCTTCTGGCGGGACTTTACTCAAAAACTCTGAAATGTCACTTACCTGTCTTTTGGTATAAGGCCATGGGGATAAGTAAATCACACACAGAGATAATTAAGCTGGTTCTTTAATTTCTAGAAAACTCATGAAAGATACTTTTTTAACGAAATATCAACTTTTCACATTTTACCATAAAATGCTCCAAAATAAATCAAACTTTTATGAAAGTTCTGCTATCAGGCTGTCTTGGGTCATTTGTACCTTATAAGGAAGAATTGTTTTATTCGGATAATTAAATGTCCATGGACAAGAGCCCAGGAGTGACTCATTGCAAACTGAACTTGGCTCTAAATAAATCACTCAATAGCTATAGCATTTTATGGACACACGACCCCCAACCTCTGAATGAATTGCTAAAAATTACTTGATATGTTGAATTTGTAACTTGGAAAACATTTGGAATGCCTCCCAGTGAAGGATTTAGCCCAGAATATAGCTAAACTAGACCATCAATACTACAGTTATAAAAACAACAACACTGTAGAATTTGAATACTCTGCACATAGTTTCTAAGGAGAAAATGAACCCAGTGTTTTAACTGGTAAGGCCTATCATTTCCCCTCCCAGGCAGCCTGGCAGCTCTGCCACTTAAGGTGCAAAATCAACAGAGTCATATTAGGTCCCCTCATGCCCGGACAGGGGGAAAGGTGTTCCTTTGCATGAGGAGCTCTGGACTTAGGCTGCAGTTCCCTGCCCTTCCTCTACCTTTTTTGCTCCCTCCTTCTCTATCACTGGAGAGGATAGGCTGGCCCAGGACAAGCCAGCAGCTCAAAGAAGGAAGGGAGCTTGCTGAAATAGCTTAAAGTTCTCTATCTTTAAGGAATGGAGAGATGGCTCAACAGTTAAGAGCACTGGCTGTTCTTACAAAACACCCAGGTTCAAATTCCAGCACCCATATGGCAGCTAACAACCATCTGTAACTCCACTTCCAAGCGATCCCATGCCCTCTTCTGACCTCTATGGGCACTGCACACACAGGCACACTTACATACATGCAGGAATAATACTTATACACATAAATAAAAAATTTTAATGTTTAATTTTGTATCTTCATTTTAAATTTAAGAGGATTAGAATGAAACTTTGGTCATTCTGCTTTATTCACAGCAATGTCACCTGTACTTATCCCAGAAATATTCAGTGTTATGCCCTGGAACCTACCCCAGGGCTGCTCTCTGTACTCTAGACACAGTGACACAGGAAAGGGAACTGAGTGAGAAGTGGGGAGATTTTAGAATGGGCATAAGCATTCAGGGCACAGAAACTGGTTCCTCTGGTAACTTAAGAAAAGAATAAATACATTTTGGACTGTGGGTCTACAGCCTCACAGAGCACTGTATCCCCTGGGGAATACAGCACAGAGTAGAGACACTGGTTCACTTATTTGTTCATTTATTCAACAGTTACTGTACCAACTGAGTGCTAGGCTCAGCACTGGCCACTGATCTTCTCTTTGTGACTAGACTATCAGAGGAGTTCCCATCTGTCACTCTCCCCCACTGGGTGATGGCAGACATTTCACCCCCTGTCACAGTAACAGTGAACTCTCTGTCAGAAGCCAGACAGGGGCAGGTGGGGTGAGGTTGGTTAGGAGTAGCTATTTACAAGGTGCAGTTTGTAAGTCAATGCTCTGGGGAGACAAGAGTCTGAGGGGAATTTTACACACCAAGGTCTGAAGACCTTCATTTATAGAATCTGATAATAGTTACCTCCAGATCACAAAAGTAGAACCTAAGGTTCCAAGTAGAGGCTTAACATGTACCCCAAAGCATATGATACATGACAGTCAGAAATTATATTTAAGAAGTGAAGCTGCTGGCCAATCACAGTGATAGTCAAAGCAGGTTTGTAATTTTAAAAAGAGTTCCCCATGTGAAAACAGCACCATAGAAGGACATAGTAAAAGACCAGTTTCTTCCCCATTAAGAGATATGCCTACATTCCTTCCTCAAGATACCAAATGAAACCCCCAAATAGGAAAGGAGGCACATGTGTCAAGCCAGAGAGTCAACAGAGCATCACAAATGCCACCTTGTTCTTAAGCTCAGAAGAAACTTACTGTGCCGCTTCTTTTTCCTTCATTTCCCTGGCTCTTTCAAGTTCCTCAGAATTTTCATGGGCATTTCCTAAGAGCGTCTTACTTCTCAGCATAAGGGATAGAAAAAATTGCGATTAAATTTTAAATAAAAAAATTGCTGATACCTTTTGCATAATTACAATGATTTTTACCCCAACCCAAAAGGGACATAGATGGTTCTAAGACCATCCAGGAAACCTATTTCCTTCCAAGGAATCCAACTGAGAACATAACTTTTCTGAAACTTCTTCCTTGGTATGCATGATGAAGATAAGAACTGAGTTTCCCATCCTGTTCACAGCATCCTAAAACTCCCCAAGTATAAAGGAAGCAATTTAGTTCAAATTCCTTGGCCTCTACGGCACTGCTCACCCTCCTTGCCAGCTCAGCATCACACTGATTCTGGAGGGAGCCTAGCCTTCATCTGCCGAACAATTCTTCACCTAGCATTTCTTTTCCAGCTCTTAACAAATGACGTATACTTGTTCCCCATCTCTTCCAGCAGGCCTATCTTTTCCCAGTACATAGAATAGAACCCAGCACTAGCAGCTTTTCAATAAATGCTTTTTTAAATTAATAGCCTACATGGCTATGGGATCCTGAGTGTGACATCTAACTTTATGAAATTATTTACAGAAACACAAATGAAGTATTTTATATTATTCATATGTATTTGTGGAGTGCATGGTCATGTGGGTGTAGGTGTGTATGAATGTGTGTGCACATGTGTGTGAAGGCCACAGGTCAACCTTGAGGGTCATTTCTCAAGAACCATCTACCTTGTTTTTTGAGTCAGGGTTTCTCAGTGGTCTGCAGCTCACCTAGTTGGCTAGCCTGGCTGGCCAGCAAGCCACCTGTATTTTTTAAAGATTTATTTCTATTATTTTTATTTATATGTATCTCTGTGTGTCTGTATCAGTGAATGCCATATGTGTGCAGGTGCCCATGGAGGCCAGAAGAGGGTGTCAGATCCCTTGGAACTGAAGTTACAGGTGGTTGTGAGCTGCCCAGTGTGGGTACCAGGAACTGAATCAGGTCCTATGAAGAACAGCAAGTGCTCTTAACTGCCAAACCATCTCTCCAGATGCCTGGATTTTTGTACATGGGTTCTGAAGATCAAATTCGGATTTTAATGTTTGCATGGCAAACACTTTATCAAATGAGATTTTATCAAATGAGATTTCTCTCCAGTCCTGTGTGTGTGTGTGTGTGTGTGTGTGTGTGTGTGTGTGTGTTGTTTTTGTTATTTGTTTGGTATGGTTTGATTTTTGAGACAGTATTTCACATAGCCCTGGCTGGCTTCAAACTTCATATAGAATGGAGGAAGAACTTGAATTCCTGATCCTCCTGCCAAGGGCTGAGATTCCAAGTGTGTGCCACCTCACCTGGCTCTTCATATAGGTTTTTAAAGCTGTAGATCATAACCTATTATTAAAAGTGCAATCAAGTAAGTTGAAATTTCCCATTCTTTTTTAATAAAATGTGATAGAAATATCAGAATGCATCACATACAACAAATATAGATAAATTTTCATGAAATTTCTACTTCTGTTGTGTGTACACATGATAAAGGATTTATTTCTTTCTTGGGTCACCATCTCAAATGTTTATAGGTCCTGGTGGTGTATCTCAATGCAAGAGCATATGCTTACCTTATTTATACATTAGTTAAATGTTTGAATATAATTGCTTTAGAAAAGAAGCCATTAGCACTAGCCCAGAACCAACTGCACTGCAGAAGATAGCAAATAATTCAGTAGTTCTCCATACGGGGTCATCAAAAAGTCTTCCTATGGATTTGAGAGCAGTTGAATACATTGTGGGCACCTCCCCACTCCCCCCCTCCACCCCCGCCTTGCACTGGTTCAGTTACTTCTGTTTTCTATTCCCAGCCACCTAGAATCCGCACGTATCCAGGACAGCCAGATTCCTCTTCTGCAGCTGCTGGAAGAGCATTTGTGCATTTGTGCATGCATTCACGTCTATTCTTATACTGAGGCTGCATTTGAAGGCAGTTGGGGATTATGCATTGGTGGGCATTTTTAAAATGGGAAATATATATGAACAGATGAAGCATTTAATTTGTAATGATGAAAATGATTGTATATGTCAAATAAATTACAACAGACTTTGAAGGAACTGAAATATGGGCTTGACAGTTCTACATGGCGTTCTATCCAGAAGAGCGGAAATGGTGCAGTGGTGTGTATAATAATCAAACATAAAGAAAGCAGAATGGGGAAACCTGGGATACGGATCATCCTTAAGTCTAAATGAAAGATCCTTCATTTACTACTTCCCAGAGGCAGTGTAAAGAAAACAGAACAGTATCTCCCCCTTCCCACAACCCTATCCCCAGAAGAAGCATAAGCAAGGTTATTTTACTTTCTATCCATGTCTGATGCAGCAGCATAGTGCAGAGCGGTCCGTCCCCAATCGTCTGTTTCATTAACACTGGCCCCAGTGATCACCAATGCCTCAATACAGTGGAAATGACAATTTGCAGCTGCATAGTGCAAAGGGGTTCTGAAAAACAAACAATGATTTATGACTTCATCCAGTCTGGGAAAGAGACCCATTATTGGCATAGCATTGGACGCAGAACTCCTAGGGGTGTGGAAAGCTCTTTGGCTCTCAGTGTGTGGAAGCCAAGGAAGGAGAAACTGAGGCTAAAAGACTGGAGGCGTCTAGCAAGGCCAGCCACAGTGGAGCTAGCCTTGCTTTCTACTCCTAGCGCCTATCCCGATGGGTCTATGTTGCTGCATTTTTCAGACCATGACAAGATCACCCATGTGAAGACTCACAGAGACCATCCCCATTAAAAGCATCCTTAGAGACTATTAAGGAAGAGAAAGAAGATGGGGGATAACAGAGGGCAATAGGTGGGAGGCTATGATCAAAGTACATCATATGTATGGATCAAAGTGTCACAATGACGTCCGTTATTTTCTGCAATTAATATATGTTAATATATGTTAGTCTCCACTGAACTGTAAGCACCTTGAGAAAAGGGATGTAGGCTAATGAGAAGAACAGAGAACCAGAAGCCTCAGGTTTAAGTTTGGGCACATCTGCAAATTTGGAAAAAAATCACATCCTCTCTCTCTCTCTGGACCTGAGTTTCCTCAGCCTCATTTCGACAAGGTCCTTTGTGTAGCCTCCCCTGTGGTCTTTCCTAGGTCTAAAATTCTGTGCACACATGTATCAATTATTTAGTTTCTCTAAACTCAATATTTTCATTTATTAAAAAAGGTAATCTGCAGCCAGGCATAGTGGTGCACCCCTTTAGTCCCAGTACTCAGGAGGCAGAGGCAGGTGGATCTCTCTAAGTTCAAGGCCAGCCTGCTCTAAATAGTGAGTTCCAGGCCAGCTAGGGCTACAGGGAGACCCTGTCTCAAAAAGACCAAAAAAAAAAAAAAAGGTAATCTGCATTTCCATATACCTCATGGGGTTACTATGAGAAAAGAAGGGAATGCTATTAAAAAATATGAATACCTTATACAGAGAAAGAATGCAGAAATATGAAATGATTTGTATTACTTATATTCAGTTTCTATTTAACAGTTTTTCTAGCTTGAATAGCCACTATCCCAGGAATAAAACCAAATAGAATGCTAAAAGTAAAGTAACTTTATCTTAAGAATGATTTATAAATTTTCAGGTGCAACTTTACATTTTGTACACAACTTAGGGCTCTTTTATTAGTTGATTTTCTCTTTAGTACAAAAGAAAAGATTATAATTTATTATAAAAGTATACTATGGTACATATTGGATTGCTATGTTTTAATTACTTGAACTGAAAATGATAAAGCATCAACCATCTGATGGGGCTCATGGATGGTGGCATACATCTATAATCTCAGCACAGGAGGACTGTAAGTTCAAGACCAGCCTGGGCTGCATAGAAAGATGCTGCCCCAAAACAAAACCCAAGGGCTACAGATGTAGCTCAGTAGTAAAGGACTTGCCTAGTATGTACAATGTACATGTCCTGGCTTTGATTCCCAGCACTATAAAAAATAAGAAAGGAAATGAGAGGAGAGGAAAGGAGAGGAGAGAAGAGGAGAGGAGAGGAGAGAGGCATTTAACTGCACTGAACATGAGTTTCATCCCCTTTAGAAGTGGGAGTCTGAGCTCTGTGGCCTCTTCTGTGTCCCTGGGTAGTGAACCCAATTGCTGCCTCAAGGGCTTCCCCCTCCAAGGGACCTACTTCCTCCAATTACGCCCCATATCTTAGGTTCCCACCATCTTTCAGTAATGCCATTAATATTTGAATCAATTCATGAATTGATTCCACTACTACCACAGAGGACCAAACTGTCAACCCATGAACCTTTAGGAGACACTTCGCATCCAAAACATAACAGAGGGTAAGATGATGGTTCCAGGGAAGTTTAGGGTCTTAAATCTCATATCTTCTTTAATCTTAACTTTGGCCTGCAGTAGTCTCAGCCTTGGACTTAGGGTTCTGGGACCTGCTTCTCCACCTGAGAAATAGTCTCTATCTCAACCTCACTCAGTCCTACACCCTGAATAGCAACCATGATGACACCTTACCATTGGAAACTTTATAGTTCACAGACCCCAGGCCATATTTGGAGAGAACCAACCATCTGTTGGTTCAGAACATTTTGTTCTGTGCTGTTTAAAACAGTCATTTAGTTCACATAAAGCTCATACCAGAAACTTCACAGCCAAGCAGTTCCCCCTTGTGTGGATGCTAGCCCTGAGGAAAATTGAGAGAGAAAAATCCAGCCTAGCAATGGGGGGTGGGAGTCGGGGTGCAGAAATAATGGATGATGGGAGCGGAAGGGGGTTAGTACTGCAAAATCTTCAAGAACAGAGTGACCTACTCAAGCTGTGTGCATGACATCAGTGGCTAACACCCTGACCTCTGAGCCCTGGGCCTTTTCTGTTTTTAGATGATGATGCCATTTTGTGCAAGCATGCCTTCATCACATTGTCTCCAAGTGACCTGTTTACACCACAGTGGCCTAGTCTTGATGCCTAATCTCACTGAAAATGCTTCCTTGTATATAAAAGGAGACAGGTAACACTAACTATTACTCATAGTTTTTCAAAAAGAACCAATTGTGTGTATAGCACACAGGAGGGGAGAGGAGAGGAGAGGAGAGGAGAGGAGAGGAGAGGAGAGGAGAAAGAAAATGGCATCGTCTTTGTCTTCAGAACTCACAATAGGATGGGGAAAGGTAAGGAAATAGTCAGTTGGCTGGTATGGTGTAATGGGAGCTGCAGTCAGGAAGTAATCAGGGTGTCAGTGAGACAAAGGGGAGGTGCCCCTGTCAGAATGGCAAGAATCTGTCACTTGACCTGAGCCTGGAAGGAGGAGTAGGAGTTATCTTATGTGGATTTTTAAGAAAAGAAATTTGAGGAAACCCTGCGAGCCAGGGGGCCAGAGGTGAGGAGGTATAGGGAGTTGTTAGAAGGGAAAAATATATGGTGTGTATATACATATACAGTCAAGTGTCACTTAACAAGCAGCTTCCAATTTGAGAAATGTAGCATTAGGTGAGTTTGTTACTGTGCAAATTCAAACTAGATGGTATAGTCTAATATACACTGAAGTTATTAACAACACTACTGAATGTGTAGCCAGTTATTGACCAAAATGTCATTACTTGGCACATGAGTGTGTGTGTGTGTGTGTGTGTGTGTGTGTGTGTTCATGAAGCAGCTAGCATCATGACACAGTCAGCTATACAAAGGACTATAAGGGTAAAAGTTCTATGACCCATGGGTATGTTGTGTGTACATTTAATAGTTCAGATGTCTAAAAATATATCCCAAGATGAAATGCCCAATGCATATGACAAATGCTGTGGATCTTATAACTATATAGTCAATTTTTATTTTATTTTATTTTATTTTTATTTATGTGTAGGGGGGTGTGTGTGTATGCAGATACCTACAGAGGTCAGAAGAGGGCACTGGATCCATGGATCTGGAGTTATGGGTGGTTGTGAGATGCCTGGCATAGGTGCTGAGAACTGACCTCTAGTACTCTTCAACAGCAGCATAAGTCCTCTTATCCACTGAGCCATTTCTTTAGTCCATACTTTGAATTCTGGTGGGTAAAGGGTTCTATTCTGCTACAAACAACTTTTTCTAAATTCTATCCATGTGGGCAATTTTTTTAAAAAGCTGAAACTAAGAGACACTTGACTTCTATTTGCTTTGTTGGCATTTCTCTACAAAAGGGGACTTCCTTTTGAGAGTGGAATCCCCCCATTTACCCCTTGTTGAACATTTAAATAACATGACTTCCCAGTGGATTACCATCCACTCTTATCTAGACCCCGAGGTGGGCCAGTCTGATTACATACCTCCCACACTTGTCCTTTTTGTGGAAATCTGCTCCGCTGCTCTGCAAGAGTTTTATACATTCCACATTACTAGAAAGACAGAGAAAACACCATTAGTATGGTCAAGGTTAATTATTAAGGTATCTGCAGAAAGAGCTATTTTCTGCAGGGTACAGTGTAAGATAAAATGGTACTTTGGGTCTAAAATTCTGATAAGAAATAACCTGAACTTATTCCAGGACTGTTGTATTGTAAGGCTCTAAAGTTCCTTTTTTTCAAAACTAATAAATCAATGTGAAAGGGCTTTATAGAACATTTTCAACTCCATGACTAAGGAATTTAATGATTATTACATGATGAGGCCTTCCAATGATAGCCTCATCATTTACCCTAAAATTCTTTTTCAAAACCATCAGTTTATGAAACAACCACATCAGCCTCTAATAATTTCATGTCACCTTTAAACAATGAGCAAAGTGGCTAAGCATTACCTTTCATCACAGCATAATAAATTCCCCATGATAACCATTTTCATCTAGATAGTGCTTAATGGAAAATAAGACAGCTGCATTTGCCTGTCTTTGTAATCCAGGTAAATAAATGTGCTGAACCAATGCTGAAAATGATGGAATGGAACACAGTGATCTTCTAAAGCTTCTTTGTCATTCACAAAAGCAATAAATCACGTTCAGTAGAGAATTGAAGTGAATTTTCAATTGAAGGGCATGAAGCTAATATTCGTTCTAATAGGAATTTCAGACATAAACCCAGAATGGTGAGTTGCCACTTTCCTGGCAGGTCTGAATTTGTTTTATGTAGCTATGTAAAGAGACAACCATCTCTCATCATTTAAAACTTGGGATGTCAAGAAGTGGTTCAGGAAGTATTGCCTTGCTATAATTTAAGTAAGAAAAAATATCTCATTAATGATAAACCTGAGCAGGGCTCGCTTCACTCCACAGCTACCCTTTGTAGCCACTTTTCTCAGAGAGCTAGATGTAACAGTCACAAAATACATGAATTTTTAAAGACACGTATGAGTTGGTACTGCATGCCAGCTAATATAAGGCACCTGTCTCTTCCTGAAAGATGAATGGAAAAGGATCAAAGGCATACAGGATCCAACCTGTATGGTTCGTGAAGCTCATTCAATGTGGGGGTTGGAGTGAGGGAAGGGGTCTCTCTTTAAAAAATAATGCAGTAACTCTATATAAGACCCAGTATACAACTTCAGAAGGGACTTGTGTAAATAAGGGGCTCTACAGCTTCATGGTTAATTCATCTCTGATAAATAGGTAATGTCTTTGGTAACACATGATGAATGGAGAAGCACTGCTATTCCTTAAGTACTAGGAAACTAACTGGAAATCAGCATCTGACCAATGCAAGGTCACCCAAGAGACACCATGTTGGGTCAAATGTGGTCACATATCTACAATAGATTGAGCAGAGCTTTGATCTAACCATTGATATACAAAAATAATAGTGGATGAAAAATTCTCTTTGCTACTTAAAGAAAAAAACAAGGATTTAAATCACTTCTTATCTATGCTTTGGATTTCCTTGACCTTTGTTTACATTTAATCATTCTAAAGATTTAAAAACAAATTTTGAAATAAAGTAAAAATGTCTATAAATAAACATGAATCAATTCAACCCTGAACTCTTGTAATCACTGCCCATCAACTGGCAACAAGAAGGGAAAAACTTAGGAACAAATTTCAAATTTCTTATGACGGGGGGATGTCAAGTAGAAATATATATGCTATCGTCTGAAATTCTCTACATGGGGGGCAATGAAAGAAAAAACAACAAAAGCCCTATTCTTTGCTGTATGAGATGGGCTATTTTTCTTTGAAAGAACAAAATGCAAGTGATACGGAAATGGAGCTGGTGATATTTGGTTGAAGCAATTCTTATCCCATTTACTAAGGAAATTGCCTTTGGTTCACAGACAACTTATGTCAATTAAGATGTATGAAGTAATTAAGTCATGAAATAGCTACCACCCCGAAGTACTCACCCTCCTGCAGCAGCAGCATGAAGGCACGTTCTTCCAAATTTATCTGGGGTGTCTATTTCAAAGCCTGCAGACAGCACGTGCTCATTACTAAACAAGGACACTATGCTATACTTTTGTCCTAGTCAAACCACAAGAAACATTGCAGAGACAGAAAAATCAGTTAGTAGGAAAACCAGAATGCAAGCAATTGTAGTCAGAAAGAGGTTGTCATGGAAACAGATGGTAACTGCTCAAGCTTGGCAATTTTATAGGAAGCACCATGAAGTCAAGAAGGATTTATTTTTCACATTCAGCCCTGGGTGAACCACAGCCCCATTTTTCAATCCCAGGATAGAAATTTATGAAATCAATTTGAGATAAGTAAGGCTACAGACAGGCAGACAGAGCACATGAGAAAACATGGAAAACAAAGGGGTAATTCCAGCAAACAGGATAGACATTTTCTTCAGTGTATTCTAATCTTCCTATGGGTCGAGGATTTGGGAAGGATGCTTTCATGCAGGGATTATTTCTAAGCATGCCAAAAGCAGTGTAAACAGAATCCACCACAGTAAAGTACTTAGAGGAAGAAATGTGCCTCTAGGATAGCTGATAAATTAATTCATAACAATCTTTGCTCTACAGGCCTCTACCAGGAACTTCTGAACATGTGGAGATTGGCAGAAGCAGTGATAAGAAAGATCAGCAAAGCTTCAAACCAGAGAAAATCTCTGGCTTCCAAACAGCCCATTTTAAAAATATAAAAATTAAACCTGGTTGGAGGGGCTCACACTTGGTGATGTTTCAATGCCCAGGGACTTGGATGATAACATGATATTTTCTACCATTAAAATGATGGGAATTAGGCCATTTTCATTTGTTAAGAAGTATTAAACGGTAAGCCACCAATTTTAGCTTCAAAGATTTTTTTCTTCTATGACTTAGGATTCCTATATGCTCTGCCCCCACCCCCTTCCTGGACCACTGACATTTTGCTGAAAACCAAACAAGACATTCATTCCAGGCAGCAATACTGGCATCCAAACAGCTTTGACTCCAAGGACTGCTAGGAGTTGTCACATGTAGGTCAGCTGTGGAACCAGCTCACCCTGCCAAGTCAGGCAACGGCACCAAGCACAGGCAGGCACTGGGACCAGACACCCAAAGTATGTGTGACTCATGGAAAGAACACATCAAGTCTCATCTATGGTATGGATTCACTTACCCGACGATAACAACTTTCTGCAGCAATCAGAGTGGGCATTTAGGGCAGCTAAATGTAAGGGGAACATGCTATGAATTCCACACCTGAGGAGAAGAAAAACAGCAGCTCACAGTAAAAGATCCCAAGACACACACTAGGCAATTACCCTTCTAGAAGTACTCTGATGATAACTCATATAGAGAACCTTGGCTGAAGTAATTTTGTAATTCTTCCATTCAATAAATATATTCACAATCATTTCCTACCTTAAAATAAGATGACCCTGATTCTAAACCAGAATTAAAAGCCTCAAGCTATAGGAGTGTGTGTGTGTGTCTGTGTGTGTGCATATTAAAATGTTTCACATAAACAAAGACAAATGCATTGCCCTTCTCTTTCTTTCAGCTCAGTGGTTCTCTCTCTCTCTCTCTCTCTCTCTCTCTCTCTCTCTCTCTCAGCCTAAATTTCTATGCCAAAGGTAATAGTGCTGAGCAAGACAACTTTCAAGTGGGAAAAGCAATTTGTTTTACTTCTTGATTTGATAAGTACTTATTATTGACCTATTATATATCAGGCATGTTATTAAGAATTAATAATGGGGGCTGGAAAGACGGCTCAGCAGTTAAGAGCACTGGCTGTTGTTACAGAGAACCCAAGTTCAGTTTCCAGCACCCACATGCCAGCTAACAACCAGCCATAACTCCAGTTCCAGGGGATCAAACACCCTCTTCTGGCCTCTGTGGGCACTGCACAAGAGTGCACTTACATACATATAGGCAATACACTTATACACATAAAATAAAAATAAATAAAAATCTAAAAGAGTTAATAGTGGCTATATTATTAAAAATAAAATTTTGTATAAAAATATGATCTGTTTAACCTTTTACAAATAAAACTCCATCTTCCTAATGAACTTTCATGACATATACTAACCCATATCACAAAACACAGGAGTAATATTACTGTGCATATATTTCATAAACCTAGCATGATATTCCTAATATCATTGCAAAAATAACCTAGAAAAGGATTGGGATTGACCCACAGCACAGTCCTCAGGATGGTCTACAAGGTAGGCAGGATTCTGGTGGCAGCACTTTTTGCCTTTAGAGTTAATCCTCCTCCTCTCCCCCACAACATCTTCTTGCACAAAGACCCAAAGCCATATGCTGAACTCTGTTCATAACAACACATCAGCTGGTGGTTCCTATGCATTCATAAGCATTTATAATGCTCATGACCACTTTGCATAACAGCTCGTTTTAATCAAACAATACATTTCATATTTTTTAAAATCCTTAGCATAACAAAATCCAGCACGGGACTATACTGATTTACATTCTGCAGCATGAATTATCTAAGTTTAATCTCTGACACAAGGTAGCCCATTTTCAGATTTCACACTTCATGAAAAATCACATATGATTTGAATTTGTTAAGCTTTGGTTACAAAATTTTTCTTTGCCATTTCAAGAGCTATTATCTATTATGCACATGAATGTGTGAAAGTAGATAGATATCCAGAGATATTTCACAGTATTCAGTGTTTTTACAAAGTGTAAGTCAGCAACTAGTCTTACTTTCTCTTTCTGTCTTTGTTGGTGTTTTGTTCCATTTTCTCAGTGCTAGCTTTCCTTTCTGGCTATGGAGATTTCCAGTTCAGTGTATATAATAGCTTGCATCCATCAAGAAATGAAATTTGCCAGTCTTCTGGGCAGCATCATGTGGAGGAGAACTGCTCGTAAATTGCCTCTTTCATCGCTTAATTCCCGCCCCCCCAAAAAAAAATACTGAAAAGCAATTGCATCTGTGATGATCCTGATGCTCATGAAAAGGAAGAAGTCAGAGGAAAGAAGAAAGCACTTCCTCCTTACACTATTGTCATATTCTCTCCTCTTGATCTAATAGAAACACACTATTTTTAAAAAGTATTCTATGTTATAAACCTTTTTACTAAATGGGGCTTAAAGAGAATGGGATTAATACACAATGATTTGTTAGGAGAGTTAAGGACAAAATATATGATTAAATGTCTCTAGACTTTCGGAAGAGGAAAATTTGTAGAATATTTTCTGTGACAGTTTTAAGTTCCTAAAAGAACATTCCTGAAATCAAGACTACATTTCTTTCAATTTTTCTGAATCATCCTCATTCTTTAAACATATACATACATATACAAATATATGCATACTTGTATATATGCACAATATATATATGTGATAAAGATAAATATATATACACATACTTATGCCCAATATATTTTATTTTATTTTTGGTCTTTGAGACAGGGTCTCCCTGTAACCCCAGCTGGCCTGGAACTTGCTGTGTAGACCAGGTTGACCTCAAACTCGCAGAGATTAACCTTCCTCTGCTTCCCAAGAGCCAGGACTGAATGTGTGCACCACCACTCCTGGCTTGCCAAACATATTTTATGAAATATATATACAAGTACATATGTCTATACATACAATATATTTTATAATTATGTGCACATACATCTATATACACATATCTACATATATGTAGTTTTATAATGATAAATTAACATATTAAATACAGCAAGCAAATGAATTAGATAAAATAACCTCAAATTCTATAAGGAGCCAATTAGGTAAAACAGAAAGCACTATCAATAGCATAACAATAGCATTACCATAAAACATTTCATAAAGTTCATTATCAATACTTCTGATTAATCTTTCCACTTTAGGTAATTCATTACATTCTATATTAGCCAATTATTTCATTGCTATCTAGAAAGGCAAAAGAGCTAAAACTAATATGGACTATCTACCAAAATTCTGTATGATACATTATAGTTTATTCTACACTTAATGAAGAGTCACCATTTCTGTGCAGGCTTTGAAAATATTAGTGTAGACTCCAATACTATAGTCATTTGAATTTGAACATATTACTGTGGTTCAAATAAACTGTGGTTTAAACAAGATATCAAATAAATACAGGAAAGAAATGTAGAATTCAGAATCTCTGAATGATGTAGAAATGATGCAAACATTTCAAAGTGAAACTCCTCCTTTACTGTTAAAGACTGCTTATAGAGGAAGAACTTTGAAACCTAGGGCTTGGCTGTCAGTCAGAAAAGAAGCATCACTCTTACTTCCACATACATGGAGAATAAAGATGCCAAATAACCCTAAAGTTAACAATGCATAAGTTACAGGAAAGAGGAGACCAATTCCAGTTAAATTGCTACATTTATTTGACAAGTCATAAAATTAATGGAAGCCATTTGTATTTAGCTATTTCTAATTTAGTTGGCATCTCCTACCCAGCTATTTCAGAATAAATGAGGTCTGAAAGATGTCCTTGTAGAAAGCTATCAGAGGCAAAAGGGCTTTGCACCATAGAAAGGGGTTTCTGGACAAGGTGGCTCCTTCCTATACCCAGTGTGTTCTAGAGTCTTCCCCTTAAGCCCTGTGGTAAAAAAAACAAAAAAACACTGTGTTTAAGGTGATGGGGTCAGAAACTCTGAGTCTGAAACCTAGTTTTGCTATTTGGTATTTAGTGCTTAGGAAGTACATAAAGGTTCCCTCATCAGGAACTTAAAAGATAATCACAGTGTCTATATCACAGACCAATTATAAGGACTCACAGGGCCAATGCACACAGAGTGCTAAACCGAGCATTGGCATATGGTATTCTTTACCATGAGTTCTTGCTATTTGCAGCCTATACATACTGTCAGTGGTTTCTTTGGCTAGCAAGATTCTTTCTGAGTGGTCATTGCCCAATCTATGGGTATTCTAGATTCTCAGTGAACTTTTTTCCAGTCCTCCTGAGAGTCAGGCTCTGTCCTGTCCCCTGGCTTTTGCATGCACTGGTCCCTCCACCTGAAACTCTCATCTTTCCCCCTTCTTCTTACAATGATCCTTAAACTAGTTAGTGCATTCCTGAGGCGGCTCTAGAAATATCTTTGGGTTCTCAAAAGTTCTCCGTGAGATTTTTTAAAATCTATTTTCCTTTTAATTGTAACCTTGATACATAATAAAAGCATGTTCAGGTTCATCTGAATGAAGTTCTCTGTGAAATTTGAAAAATCTACTTTCCTTTTAATAGTAATATAAAAACACAATAAAAGCATATTCAGGTTCATCTGAATGACCACTTTGTCACCACATAACTTAGCCAAACCTCAGTGCTGGCATTTGTACTTAGAGTTACCTTGTGCTTATGTAGGGTTTTATAAGCCAGTAGGAGAGACCTAATAAATATATGCTGTGTCTTAGGCTATAGAGGGACAACAGTAATGTGGGACACTGAATCTTATGTATGAACAAAAGGTAACATAGTTAGAATAAGGGTCTTTGTGCTGTGTGTTTCTGCCCTGCCACATTGCTTAAGCCACTGTAAGACCTCCATTCTTGCAGTATACATTGAACTCTCAAGAGTCAGCACCTCAGCCACCATAATTTGACACAGATGATAATTTGCACAATGTGTGTGATTGCATCATGTGTTATTAGACCACAGCAGCCCAGATGCTGGGGCACTGGAACTCCAGATCCAAACAGCCAAGGACAGGGTCTCAATTCTGCTCCTTCTTACATCCTTGGGATGTAATGAAGTCCTCTGTGCTTCATGTATTTCACCTGTAAGATGGGGAAGCCATAGCACTTCCTACAGGGCTGCTGTAACCATTAACTAGAACCCCTCAGACTGGTGCCTAGCCTAGGTAAGCACCCATGGGTATCTGCTACTATAGTACTGTTCAGTTATGTAGGCAAATGTCTATATGTGTATATATTTTTAAATATTTTATTTATTGTTTTTATTTTATGTATATGAGTGTATTGCCTGCATGCATGTAAGTGCACCTGTGTGGTGCAATGCCATGGAGGTCAGAAGAAGGTGTCATATCCCCTGGAACTGGAGTTATGGACAGCTGTTAGCAGCCATGTGGGTGCCAGGATTCTAAACCGGGCCCTCTGCAAGAACAGCCAGTGCTCTTAACTGCTGAGTCATATCACCAGCCCCTACATACATATATTTTACAGTTTTAAAAACAGTTATTGCTATGGTAAGGTCAAAAGCCCAAGTTTGTAGTTAGGCTAATGTTTGTACACAATCAAGTGATATAATGAAAGTAAGTTTATGCTGAGGACCTGATAAATACTCTGACCACCCTAACCTAATAAAGTCAACATAACCCTAGAACCTGGCACAGTCAGTAACAACTAACAGACCCTCAACAAATATGTAACAAAGAGTGCCAGAGTCTGTTATCTAAGTGACTCCAAAACCATTAACTGCTGCAGTAGAGGCACAAAGAACTGAGAACACAACTGGGGAGGTGGAAGGCAAATTAAAATCCTAGAGACAGGCGTCCAACAAACTGAAGAGCAAACACCAAAGGGTTGTGACACCACACAAAGCCACATGAACACTGCCTTTGGTGTTCATTAACACTGTCACTGCAGAAAGTGCTGTGACATGAGTTCAAGAAAGCACACAAAATAAGAAGGAACATTCTAACCAACGGCTGATCGCGACATTTAAAAAATTCATAAGGAAATAGCGACAGTAAGACTTACACATTTAGCCATACTGTTTATGAATGAAGTGGTGCTATAGTTTGGATCTTGGACCCCAGAGGTCCATGTGTTAGAGGCCTGGCTACCAGTCTGTGGCACTATTGGGAGTTTAATGGAAGGAGTTAGGCCACTAGGAGGTGCCCTACCCTGGGCTGACCTGCCTCTCCCTCTTTTCCGCTGCTTCCTCCCTCCTTCTCTTCCTCCTGCCCTTCTGGGCCGCCATGGGATAAATCAACCCTCTCTACCACACATTCCCACCACAACGCACTGTTACCACAGACCCAAACCAATATGGTCAAGTGACGATGTGAGAACCTCTGAAACCATGAGCTAAATAAACCTTTCCTTCTCATAAGTTGATTTATCTCAGGTACTTGTTCCAGTGACTGAAAGCTGACTAACACAGGAGTCATTTTCATAAATTCTATTCAATTATCTATAAGAGGGAAGGTCTTATTTCTCTCTTTAATAAGTTATCCTACATAAATCTATAAGGAATTCAGAGACTTTTCAGAAAGACTTTTAGCAAATTTAATCTTCTCTAATTCTTCCCTTCATCTTCATATTTTCCCCTAATGTGTGTTTCTTTTTGCTGATATGCAAAGTCTAAAACACACACACAGTATAATCACTGCCTTCATAAATCACTATCACCGAAGGTAACACAACTTATGTCCAAATATTTTGTGCCAAAAGAAGGTAAACATGACCAGTGAAGACTGAGCTGTTTCCCTTACTTGAACAACAATGCTATTTCTGAGGTATTTTTGCTACATGGTATGCCTGTATAAGTTAAAAGCAAAATAAACTTTGTATTTACTGAACAAAGTGTTTAGGGTGGGAATTTTAACATACAAGACTGAGTTTATTTTTACTTGTAAAAATGAAGGTTGAGAAAAAAATAGGAAACTCATGGCTGTTTGGCTAGACAATCCCCAATTAACCAAAGGTGAAAGAAGAGTGTCACTGAATGTTTACATTTAAGCTAATGTTCTGTAGATGTCCGACTTCTGCTTAATGACCACTAAGCATTTCTGAGCTCTGGCTTTGCTCAGCCCAGTCTGGCTGGGAATTTCCAGAACCTGGGCAGACCTCCTGAGTCTAGGGTCATGATCCTGCCACAGAACTGTGCTGTCTCATTTAACCTGCTACAACCCAACCAAAAAAGGCCTTGGCTGAAAGTACACTCCTTTTTCTAAGAGAGACACCCACAGGCAATACTGCTGTCAGGGTTCCCCTCCTCTGCAGGCCCTCAGCCTCATCCCTAGCCCAAGACCTCATCTTTTCTTCCCCAAGCATTTGCAAGAGGCTGCCAAGTGTTTGCAGTCTGGATGGCCTCCAGTCTGTCTGGAATGTTATCAGAGAATCTTTCTTACACACAAATGGGATCATTACACACCACCCATCCTAAACCCATTTATAATTCTTTAACAGCTTCCGGATGCCTCCGGATGAAATGCAATTCCTTGGCAGGACATATGAGGTCCTCAAGATGTCGCTCTTCCTGCTTTTCCACCTCATTTCTTCCACTCCTGTGAACATGTCAGATCACCCAGCTTTAAAACTTGCTTTCAACATGCTCACATGCTTGCATCTTTGTAACTGTGACCCCTTCTTCCTGGAAGGTCTTTCCTTGTTTCTGCTTCTTTCAACTCCCAATTCTGTCCACACTCCTATCCATTTGTCTTTTTTCTGGACTGCTTTCTCTTTGGGGAAATCCCTAACTGTGTTTCCAGAGTGGGCTCCAAGCCTCTGTAACAAACTTGGCAAGACTGTAGCCATTTTCTCTTGTGTTGTCTCCACCATAAGGCCAGGAGTCCCAGAGGTCAGTGAAACCCAGTGCAACTTAACAGTTAATGAAGGAAGCTATTACAACTGCAAACTACCATAAAATGCACTTCAAAACAGTTGGCCCTCAGTGAATTTGATGTAGAACACAAGCCTACCACAGCTTCCCTGAACCATTTTATTTTGTTTTATTCTCAATCAAGATTTTCAATTCTTTACACACATTTGACAAACACACAGACTTCTTGATAAATGCTTTCCTTCCTAAAAATTCACTTATGGCTACCCACAGTCTCTGTGCTCAAGGCTAACCTCTGCATTAATGAATTTAAGGCACTCTTTAATTTGGTTCTATTACATATTATTAGATAATAAAATAATAGTTAACATTTATTGATAGCTTACTGCGTGCCAGGCACTATTCAGAGAGCTTTTCATAAAGATTATCTTTCTAATAAGCTTTGCAGATGTATTTAAATAACTCATATTCACCCAGACCTTACCACATACCAGAGAGGCTTCCCTAGTAATTAAGTCATTTAATCTTCCTAACAAACACAGATAGGTATCATCATTACCTCTGTTATTCAAATGAGGAAAATAAAACACAGAGGGATTGAGCAACAGGTTCAAAGTCACACTGCTCTAAAGTAAGGCAGGATGGAATGGAGCCCAGCGAACCCGGATTCCCAAGCTCCAGGAGGTCCCACTGAGCAGAGCATGGCTCTATGCAGTCCCCTGGGCTTGGTGGCTGCACTGCACCCCAGGAGTGTGCTCCTGCATGCTGCTGCTCTCCTATACCTGTGGGAAGCCCACAGTGCTGCTCTGCTCAGATCCTCCTCTGGCCACACCCCTTCTCCCAGCTCTGCATCAAGGCTCATTTTCTGGTTTAAAGCCTTTTCAAAAACATCCCCCACCTTTGAGCTTTCGCCTTCCTGTCCACACTGATAGCACAGATGCCAAATTTTTTCACCACTGTTCCCTTTAGGACTCTGGCTTACTGTCTTGCATGGTTCTTTGTCCTATGAGCTCCTTGAAGACACCAACCAGGTGACTGTTTATGGGGCTTATAGCACTCAGCCCCATGACAGACCCAGAGGGCTGCTTCGTATATTCTTGTGGAAGTAAATGCAAAATGAAGTCAGACTCCCCTTCCCCATGTGGCAGACTGTTGTACCCTATAACCATCTCTCTAAAATTGACCAAAAACTCTGAATAAATTCAGATTTTCCTATTTTTCCTATTTAACAATAAGTACTGGAAAGAACAAAAAAGAACACTAGAAAGAAAGCTAGAAATAGAGTTCAAGTTTCCTCAATTAAAACCACCAGAATAGGCCTCATCCTGGTGCAGCTGAAAAATAAAACCAGTTCTTCCTCAAATCTGTCATGAAAGCTCTTATTTGATTCCAAATGTAATTTGCACTTAGTCTAATGATACAGAGCAACTGTAACCTGGATGAATGGGAGCCCTCCTCTGCACGGCAAAGTCCCCTTGGCAGAAATCTCACACGTGGCAATTACACCTTCGTATTTTCACAGTAACCTACTTGGCTGTGTCAGCTCCGCTGGTTATTAAGGTGTTAATCAAAAGCTCATGACCGTATCTTGCAGCCACATGGAGAGGTGTGTTGCCATCCTTATCCACACAGTCAATTTCACCTCCTGAAAGAGATTTTAATAGAGCATCACTCAAAGATTCATGTGCTACGTTCTACCCCAGTCGCCCAGGCACACGTGTTGATTTCCTTTCTACTCCGGTATGTGTCTCTGCTCTGAAGTATAGGAATGATTTCTATGATGGCAAGTTACCACCTGACATTGTGGCAGTATCATATCTGCACAGACAGAAGTCTACTAGAAATGCTTTTGAAAAACCCATATTCATCTCAAGAATCTAAAACCTTACACCCATATTCCTGCTCACGATAGACAATATGCTCAAATTCCATAAAACACAACTCTGGAGACATAGGGAACCTCACACTGAAGTATAAGATCCAAAGGGGACAGAGTATTCAGGAAAAGATTCCTGTAGTGTGGTGACCCAGCTTCAAATGTGGATAAATAAGATGAGAAAAAGCATGAAATAAAAACTAAAAATACCACGTCAATTATTTGTAATCCTGTCCATACAATATTTCCATCTTGTCTTGTTTCCCCTCAAACTTTTTACTTCACATTTCTTTTCTTTTTCATGTATATGTGCATAAATATAATGGTCTACTTAGTTATCTGAAGAATCACTTAAAAATCATTTAGGTATCATGGCATTTTACCCTTACATATGTTTCCCTTAAGAATAAAAAGTATTCTCACATATAAATACATCCCATTATCTTACTGAAGAAATTTGACATGGTATAATGTCATGTCCTCTACAGTGTATATTGCATTTTTTTCCATTATCCTCAAAATGGGCTTTATAACTGATTAGATTGAGAGTTAATCAAAGACTGATGGCAACTGGTAGTCAAATCTCTTCAGTTGGTATTAATTTAAAACAACCTTTCTGCTTTTTATTTATTTAAAATACCTCAGTGTCATTAATATCTTGAAAACCAAGCCAGGTTGTGTAGCATATCCTGTGTTTCGGGACTGTCGGACGCTGTCCTCATCGCTAGATTTACACTAACATTTTGGCAAGAATATTCCAGGACTGATGCAAACTTCCCACTGCATGTCTCCAGTACACACACAGGCTGAGTTCTTCTGCCGTAGGGTAATGTAGTGTCTGATTATTTACAACAGGCAGAGTTTCAGGATGGAAAGATGAAGATGCTGGTCATGGTTATGTATTAATGGCATTGGAACTATTAATTCTCATTAAAAACTACAATGATAATTTTTTCCATTCCATGTATTTTACTGCAATAAAAAAAGCATTTGATTACTTAGATGGTATCTGCCAATACATCCTGGGACCAAAAAAAAAAAAAGCCTTTACCCCCTTATAATTAGCAAGCATTTTGTGTAGTGATAGTTTAACGCTATATGAAAATGTAATTTAATATTCAATTTCCAAACAAACTTTCCCATAATGATTTCAGCATATACAGGGAGACTATATTCAACAGCTACCTGAACACTTGTGCTGCTGCTTTGTTATATAGTTGGTTCATCTGATTCTGTTTGCTTTAAAATTTTTACTAGGTTTAATTTAATGTATGAATATGCAAAATGTTTGTCAAATTATATTTTTCAAAAGCCTCATTTTTAGGGGCTCAGTTGGTAAAGTAGTTATTGTGGAAGCATGAGGCGCTGAGTTTGATCCCAGCACCCAAACAGGAGCACTGGGACTCCTGAAATTGATAGCCAAGGTTGACCTTTGTCCTCTACATGTGTACTTACCCACACAAAAACAACCACACTGGCACACACACACACACACACACACACACGTACACATGCACACACTCATGCACACGGCCTCATTTGCATTCCTATTCCATTACTTCCTCCTCTCTACTTCCTATAGTAATCATTTTCATTGCTTTTAGTTTATGCTTCCTGTGTTTCTCTGACAAAAAAAAAGTTTTCCCACTTACTATATCCTGCAACTCTACTTTAATGATCACTTATTGGACATGACCTCAATGCTATGCAGCTCTGTTGTTGTCCACTGCGTGGATGAACTAGTTTAGTAAATCATCTCTATGGATTAGGCTGTAAATAGCATTTTGATATAATCAGGAATGCTGTGCTAAATAACCTCAAGTGTATGTACTGTTTCACACTTGGTAGATGCAGCTTCTGAGTAAATTCCTAAATGGGCACTGTCTAGTTTAGAGGGTAAATGGATGTATGGTTTTGTTAGGGTTTGCTGAACCTCTCTCTGTGGCGCTGTATAACTTTGCATTCTAAACAGCCTGTGGCAGTGTGCCTCTTCCTCAGTTTCATCAAGCTTTTGAATATTTGCCATCTGATGACTGAGAACTGATATCTCGTGGGATTTTCATCTGCATTTCTCTTATTACAAAGGAAGTTGAACATCATCTCCTCTATCAAGAGACATTTGTTTATCTTCTCCTAGGAGGCATATTTCATGTCTTTTGCCCATTGTTCTAAATTTGTGTGTCAGTATATGGTCTTTTATTCCTTTATTTTCAAAAGCTCTTAAAACATTTAGGAGATTATGTATTTATCATAATGTATGCTGAAAATATTTTCCCCCAGCTTCCTATGTCTTTGGTTTTATTTATGGTATTTTCATTCTATTAAAAAATTATAATATATAAGCTTTTTCCTTTATTGTATTTGAGGTTTAAGGTGTTAGAAAACCTTTCTGCATATTCTGGTAATAAATAAGTGAATGCTTTGCTTACTAGAAAGTTTCATTTGTTAGGTTGAGATGTCTGATCCATTTGGAGTTTATTTTGGTAATGGTGTCTTAGTTGTCTGATTGCTGAATAAAGTTCCCTGAAGGCTAAAAGAATGAGTCCAAAACAAAGGCTCCAGCAACTCATAAAGGCAGAAAGTAGATTAGTGCGTGCCAGAGCTGGGCAGAAGAATGGAGAGTGATTGCTAATGGGGATAGTGGGAACATTCTGGATACATGGTGGTGATCATTATACAATCCCAGAAAACAGTGAAATCCACTGAAGTGATTTTTAAAGGATTTTTTGTTTGCTTGTTTTTGTTTTGAGACAGGATCTCACTATGAACCCAAAACTGGCCTGTAACTCACTACACAGACCAGGCTGGCCTCAAATTCACAGAGATCCACCTTCCTCTGCTTCCCAAATGCTGGGATGAAAGGCATGTGCAATCATACCTGATCCTGAATTGTTTTCTTTTAAATGGTAACTTCTATAGTGTGCAGGATAGCTTTAGTGTCAACTTGACACACCTGGGTTGAGGGAGCCTCAATTGGGAAATTGCCTTCATTGGACTGGCCGGTGGCCATGTCCATGGGGCACCTTCTTGATTGTTGAGTGATGTGGGAGGGTCCAGCCTACTGTGGGTGGTGCCACCCATGGGAAGGCAGGCCTGCATTGCATAAGAACACAGGCTGAGCAGGGGCCAGGGGAGCAAGCCAGTAAGGAGCACTCCTCCATGGCTTGTGCTCCAGCTCCTGCCTCCAGGTTCCTGCCCTGAGTTCCTACCTTGGGCTCCCAGATGAACTGTGACCCGGGATATGTAAGCTAAATAAACCCTTTCCTCCCCAAGTTGGTAGTGGTCAGAGTGTTTTGTCACAGCAATGAAGAAACAAACTAGGACATATAATATATGAACCATATATGAATTCTATAGTATATGAATTGTGTCTTAATTTAAAAGTAAGATCTGGGGCTGAAAAGATGGCTTAGCTGGAGAGATGGTTAAGAGCACTGGCTGCTCTTGCAGAGGATCCAGGTTTAGATTCCAGCATCCACAGGGAGGCTAACAACCACCCTTAACTCCAGGTCTAGGGGATCTAATGCCCTCTTCTGACCTGTGGAGGCATTGCATGACAGGGTGCCCATGCATGTAAAATACTCATGAGAGAGAGAGAGAGAGAGAGAGAGAGAGAGAGAGAGAGAGAGAGCTGCTAAGCATGGTGGCACATGCCTATAATTCTGGCACTCAAGAGGTTGAGGCAGAAGGATAATGACTTCAAAGTCATCCTGGACTACATAGTGAGTAGTATGTAGTGAGTTGGGGCTGGCCTGGGCTACATAGCAAGACCTTATTTTAAAAAAAGAAAGAAAAAGAAAAATGAAAGGCTCAAATAAAGGTACAGAAAAGTAAAAGGTGAAGTAGGAGACGGCACCATGGGAAAACAAATCACAAGAGGTATTTGTTTTTACAGAAGTGGATATGCACTTAAACTTTAACGAAAACCAAGTTAACAATACCCAGTATACTGGGGCACAGAGGAGTTATTCTGAGGTTCTACTTTTTAGTTATCATGTTCAGAAATAAATCTCTGCATCACTATGGAAAGCTGCAAGCTACTGAATTATGAGGTTGAGCTCTTAGGAAACAGGTATGCGAGAGTGGATCTCACTAAACGGTTATGTTCTCCCAGTCACCTCACTCCCCAGCACTGCAAAAAGGCAGACAAAAAAGCCAGTCAACAAAGTCCCATTAGCTCTTACCTTAGTTCCTTATTAATTATATGATGCTATTAATATACACATATTTTCATAAGATAAACTAATATTGTAATGTCTAGTATGTACATCTGTATATGCCAAAATGAGAAATATAAAATCCCAAGAAATGTAAATATTATATGAATGGCTTTGATCAATCTAGGAGATATGCTTGCTTAAATAACATATTTCTGATGAAAACAGTAATTTTCTCATTGAAGAAATTTAGATGATTAAGTAAAATACAAAGAAAATAGAAGTCACACATAAAACTCCTGATTACCCCAAAGAGTATTAATATTCTGGAACATTTCCTTCCAGTTGTGTGTGAGTATGTGTATGTATGTATATATGTGTGTGCATGTTTATTTGTATGTATATGCATGCTTGTGTTTATGTGTATTATGTGCACATGCATGTGTGTGCATGTATGTATGTATATGCATATGTATGTGTATGCATTTTATCTAATTTTTGCCCACAGCTGAGATTGTAGTGTAGAAATAGTTTTGCATTCTACTTTTTCCCTTAATACTATATCACAAATACTTTCTATGTGGCTATTTTTTCATTCATATAACTGTAAAT